ACATCTAGGTGTGGAGCGCGATCAATACAACAGATGACATCACAGGATTTCAAGCTGATCTGGATAGGGTATACACTTGGTCAAACCAGAATCTAGTTCGATTCAATTTGGACAAATTTAGAGTGCTGCAACTACGGCACAAATTGGTGGGCTCCTACAAATTCGGCAACCAGGAGCTTCAAACGACTTCTGGAGAGAAGGATCTGGGAGTTTTGTTCAGGTCGACCTTGGATGCTGGGATCAAGCGGAAACGGCGTCACGTGGGCGTCCTGAAGCTTGTATTCGGCAGATTCGACCCCGCGATTTTTCCACAACTTACCGATCCATACATACGGCCACATGTGGAATACGTAATACAGGTTTGGCATCCATGGCTGAGAGGTCTCACCTTCTTGGAGATACCCCAAGGCCGAGCCACCAAAAAAGTCAAGGGTCTGTATAATTTTGCTGTATGAACGTAGGCTTCAAGTGTTCGGGGTTTTGAGTGGACAGTATCGGCGATTGCGCAGGGAGCACACTTTGTCTTACCAAATGTCTTGGGGTCCCAACCACATGTACCGCTACTAGCTAGAGCCCAGTCTCAACAGTAATCTGTGACGTCACCATCTCAAGCTGGCAGAGTATTACAGTCGTTTGGAAGGCCGTCGGAATTTCTTTTCCCTACACGTTTGCAGAACGTGGAATGCCCTACCGGAATCTGTCACATATGCTCCCAAGCTGGCAGAATTCAAAGGCCAAGTTGACCGTGCACTTATTCCACTGCACTTTTCGCTGCGATTTTAATGGCGGTCAAATCCCAGATTTCGTTCCACTTTTTCACCTCTACGTGTACATCAGGAGGAGACACGATTTTTGCCAACATCCCATTTGCCGTCAGCCCTTATGGATTTACAGCTTATACTACTTATATCATAGTGAGTTCACAGGTGAAAATCCACATTTCTTAACAATTTATACATAGTTTGAAGTTTAATCATGACCATCCTACGGGACCTGTGAAGTTTTAGCTATTTTACCAGTAAAAAACCATTGTTCCATTGTTCCGCCATGATTCCAATGGCACAATATCTGTCCAAAACAGGCTGTGATTGAAAACATATGTCAGCCTTAGGCCTATCAGTGCACTTCGTGTCAACATAACCCAAGTATTAGCTCAAGGTGTGCAACTCAAGAGAATGTACGAAATAGAGAACTCAGTTCAATAGATGGTTTTCTGATGTGCCTTTTGGAAATTAAGTGGTAGATTACTTTGTGTGAATTGCTGGTTACACATATCACTCATAACCATCAGCCACGGGGGACCAGATACATGACGTTGGAATATTTCGTATGGGTGACTAAAAGCTAGGGAGAAAGGTACATTTTCGTTTTCGTGATATTGGTGTGGTTGGTTAGCCGTTCACTCAAGACAACGATTGCTAATGAGTATCAACCATGTGCTCAGGTTGTGGGTACAAACCGGCTTATCGTACGCACTAAGTGCTTGCAAATATGTTCTATGATATTGTGCAGGTCGTTAATGTCACCGTTTTAAAGTTTCACGATGGGAAGGAAAAGCCATGTGCCCTTTTCCCAAAAAGAGGCAGTCCTTTTTTTACCAATTCCAGAAGAATCAGCCGCATAACACTCACGTTCAAGAGAAGTGCATCCGAGAGTCTGAGGAAAATTATACAATAAGCCAGAAATTTTCTGCTAATATTCGATTAGGTCGGGGAATATGGGACTAAATCCGACCCCGTTATGAGTTGGAGGATTATAGTAATTGAAACCTTTCGACGTATTTTTTGTTGCCAACGCACTAGTTAGTAGAATGCTGGGTCCTTATAGGCTGACGGATGATCATTAGCAAAAAGAGTTTGAGCCAACAAACGTTTCAACCTTCGCGTAGATTTAGACGCACCTTGGAAAGTGTACCATTGTTAACACTGCTGACGGCTGTATCACAAAACAGTCGTGCAGTTGGTTGCTAATGAAGTAGATTGATTAGACGCGTAAGAGGGTTGACTTCTCACCGGATGGCCTCACACGAGGAAATAAATTACATACATGCATTCGATCCTGTAAACGTGTTATCAACTGACTTAATCCCAGACCGGCCTAGCACCCTGTGTCCCTGTTGCTTCAAGCCTGGTTTCAGTAAAAGGCTTAGCCTTGACCTGTATAGTGGGGTCGAACAGATGTGCTGCTCGGCGTCCCGATGGAATTACGAGTCGGAACATAAAAGGTGATGCTAACGTCACTCAAAGGCGCAATAGATCCCCATATAATTACTTAACGTACCTGATCTGAATGCATGATTGTCCAACTGTATTCTAAGTTATTTTTGCGTCGTAGTCTAGACATTGCACAGTTTATTCATTTTCGTGGGGGTACGTTCTAGCCAGTACAATTAATTGACCAAAGCAGAATCTTGAACCACGCGTTGTAGTAGTTTAAATCTTGAAAACCTCTAGCAACCACACAGCGCCACGGTTGGAGCCTCCAACGCCTAACGCGTCACGCAACTTCGCTTCCTTACCTATCTTCTCATGTTACCGGCTTATTGTTGTTTACCGTAATGCTTGAAGTAAGTGTTCGTCACAATACCACTGCGTCTTCTCTTCAAAGTTCGCTGGCCGTAATCGACAAGGAAAGAGGTTACGCAACAGAAATATTGATGTAGGCGGGCAACTTTGAAAAGACTTAACGCATCATCAAAAAGATGACGATGAGGAATACCAGGTGCCAGTGGTCGCGTGTTTTCTCTCATCAAGACCACTTCCATCGCAAGTGACATGAGAAAAGCAACTGAAGCACAATTAGCGTAGTGTTAGGTGGTGGTGAAACTGGGAACATGGAAGCCGTGGGTAGATAACTGGTTGCCATTTAACGCACACAGCTTGGCCTGATTCGGTTGATTATCACGGCCTTGCTAAATAATGATACAAAGCATAAGTACTGCTACTTGGTAAGATTTAGAAACTCATTTAATCGCAGTACCCAGAACTTAGTCGTTTCACATTAGTAATCTTTAGGCACCTCTAGCAATCTATGGATTAATGCAAGTTGCATTAAGAGCAACCAAGGGACATAATGCAGTTGAAAAACTGATTAGTGGATATCTTTTTAGTAAATCGCAATTAGATTATGAGTCAGAGACGTCGAGTACTAGCCCGGAGTAGCATCAGATGGCCGTTTCTCCATCTTGGGTTTTACCATGGTATGCGTTCCATCTATATACTTCAAGGAACCGGATTTATGACCGCAACTTAAGCCAACTGAACTTTGGGGGACGATTGCTGACCATCATGAATTAAAATCAAAGTACGATACAGCTCGACTAGAGGGACTGCACATCGCTGTCGCGTCGAAAGAGACGGCCATCTAATGCTTTTCACGGATTAGTGAGGGGCCTATCGGGCCTGTGATTCTACTACGATCAAATAAATAAATTCGCTACTCATGAGTAGTTGGTTCAAGTAGGATGTATCGACTCACAACGCTACTCGCAATGGCTGGTTGCGCGCTTGTTTACACTGTGGTTAAAACCCGGAGCATTTGAATGGCAGGTACTCATACGAGACTCAGCTGTGGTTATCCATTGTCACAACAGTTTTTGACTACGTGTGAGTCAGTTTGACCCACCCGCAACACCTAACGTCCAGCTGTTTCGACTAAGATCCGAGAGACCGAATTGACTGGAGCACACATCAAAGTGTATCATGGCCGAGAGTGAGATTGTAATTCACAATCGTTTCGCAAAACATGTTTCCCAACATGATTGGTGAATTGATTAGATTCGTAAGCTCAGAATTGCTTGGTGTAATTACTATGCATAGCTGCGCTACCGGGAACCTCGGTATCCTCATTGCTGCCGACAGTCATTCGATGTATACGCTTTATGTCCACTAAAAAGAGGCTCAAAATCTGTTTGTTAAGAGCGCCAACAGCGTGGAGATTCCATGGAACCAACGTTAACAACAATCCGCTTTGACACGAGAGGCATTCAGTTTCTATCCAGAAAATGCCTTATCATCAGAAAGATGGTGCAGCAATTAGTGGTCTGTTTTACTGGCTATTAAATAGCATTATAACAGGGCACTGAAAAAATGCTTGGCTTCTGTCTTGTTTTGTTTGGGAAAACCAAACCTGCCTGCATCGCCAATGGCATCGGACGTCATACACCGAAGCTTGATTATGACCAGCAGGCTGCTGGTTACTGGTTGGTTTGTTAGGTTTTATCATGGCGAAACTGCAAAAAACAAACCAAAGCCTGTAAAGCAATGGCTGATACATCCAAATTACATAATTGAACAAGAATCCTTGATCTCAAATAGATAATATCTACTAATGTAAAATGTATAC